GAGTGGTTACCGTCGCTCATGGACGTCAGTAATGCCAGGGGCAGAGCCAAGCCGCTGCCTACCGTTTAATACTCTCCACAAGCCTCGTTTGAAGAAGGACATGTCATAGCGCTCGGGAAACACCTTGCTTAGAATGCTTGAACGAAAAAGCCTAACCTCAATGAAAATTTGTAGTTCGACATGGACATACTTACTTATAACAATGTTATTGTTGTTCAGAAAATTGAACAATTATAATCAGTTTGTGTAGCATAATAAATTTGTGGATTTGAATTGAATTGGTAAAGTGAAAAGTCTTATTCTTTCCATAATAATTTAAATATATTTTCCAGTAAACAACAAAGAATTATCATGTATTGCAGATTAACGTACATACTTTGTACCTACTGATTATAATTTCATAGTTGGTTTCATATTTTGCTTGTTTGATATCTATGATTCATTCATTCGTTAATATTTTAATTGATTTATTTTTTTTGATAACCGTAAAAATTACATTCTATGAACTCATTGAAAATTGGCTCTTTCAGTAGAGTGCTAAATCACAATAAGAGCTCTATGTTTTCATCTCTCAAAAAAGTTGTAGACATTATCAAAGCTTAAAACAGAATGCCGCTTTTGAAATGTCGTTTGTGGTAATTGTTCTTATTATGTTCATGTGATTCGGGCGTCTATAATAAGTGCTAATGTTACAGTAGAAAATCTAAGTAGGTGCCTCTTTTGTTCGAAAATACATTATGATAATTTGAAAAATGTGTGGTTGGCCTTACAAACAAGGCTATATTTAGAAATGGCACGTCATATGATGTATTAAATTGAGTGTTTTTATTAAAATAGATGTTTACAATGAACGATATACCATTAAGATTACACAACTCGAGCGTGATGTCCTAGGTTTAATTTAAAGACTGATAATCCCCGAACTAATGTGATTTACTTGTAAAATGTCATAAAGATTATTATTTAACGAGTACTTACCACGATTTTCATATTTTATAAATAGTCTTAATAATGTAACAGATAGCCTCGAAAGCTTATAACAATTTATAAAACATTTTTACGTAAAAGCGCAAGAAATTTGTATGCTACCCACCTAATTTAATATTTAATAATAAACCGAGAAACACAATGTAATCAGCATCCTAGCCATTATTATTCAAGACCCTACTCGTATAGCTATATTTATCCTTATTCAGATGGATTTGTGGAACTGACAACAGAATAATACCACCTGTTCTCATGAAGAGTAAGATATTATTTAAAGTAATAACAAATTTATTCATCCAAAATTCAAATTAATAGCAATATTGAAAATTGTGCAAGTAATGTAAGTGAGTACTTAAGTTTCTTTGTATGACATAGAAATAATTCAACATTCAAAAACAGTGTTGAAATAGTCTATATTTTCCATTTAATTAATTAGTCGCTCCCTCGTGTTCAAGCCATCTTTTGTCTCGTCCAAGTGTACCTTTGCTCCCCACTTGGGGGGTGCAGCGCCGTGTCCTTGTCGCAAAGATAGGCTGGACTTGTCGCTGCCTGGCGTCGTGGCGTGATGCTTGGCGGTGACGAGTCCTGGAAGGCTATGCTCGACTTCTGCGAGTGTGGCATCTCGCGGAAGGAGGTAGCGGGGCGAGTAAGGCAAAGCTCTCCTTACTACGCAGAAATCCGCCGCCGCCGAGCAGGAGGTCGGGACCGAGGTCCCGTCCGTGATCCGGCCCCTTAAGAGCTTCGGGCTCCACCCGCTTTGTCCACCCTAGCCACGCCTAGGCGTGGGGTGGCGTGCTCAGCACGCTCGCCCGTATTAGGAAACCGGTCGATAGTAAGGAAGGTGCGGGTACCGGGTAGTAGCGCGGTGCCATCAAGGCGGGCTCCCGATTCGTCGACCGAGGGATCCGGTGGTCGTGTCGCTGGCAGCCGCCGGTCCGTCGTCTGGGGGACGGCGGGATGGATGTAATGTGCCTAAACCCTGATCCCCCGTCTCAATAACCCCGACTGGGCTCCGGCCCGGTCCGGATAGGGCGCCGGCTCTGAGCGGCAGGAGTTTTTAGTGAGGTTCAATTCCCACATAGTGGATATCCGGCGATTTTCTTCTGGAAAAAAAAGTGTACCTTTGCTGAGATGTTCTCTGTAATACGAATGTAATGCGGGACTTTTTGACGTTCAACTCCGAAATACGCCTCCCTCAAGATTTGGAGTGACCTAGAAGAGAATCCACGAGAAACAAGCAGACGTTCTATTGATGTTTTAAAATGTTAAAAAATGTCTAAATAAAAAAGGTACGGTACCTTTTTTATTAAGACTATTCATTTAGAAACTTGATAAGAAACGACTTAAATAGCAATTGTAGCAATGTCCGATAATGAATCCACTATAATTTGATAAGTAAAACGAATAAAATAGAAATACGTCAATTATTATGAATATTCAAAAACTCCTTGTCTATTTCTTAAATCATGAATACAATATTGAGTAATTATATAACACTAGTGGTCGCCCGGTAGTCGAAATTCGACTATAATTAATTGAAATTATAAGTTTGTACACTATTATTATATGATTCTATTTTCAAAGATTATTATACATCTATAATCACAAATTTCACCAAGACTACACTATAGAAAAATATTAATAAAGACAAACAATATTTAATTTTAATCTATTCTCAATTTGACCACAGACGTCAAGAACAAAAGTTTGACATAAATAAATAGTATGCATGCGTCAAATAAATGGTAGTGTGTGTAACGTTTTCTTTATTGATTTAATGTATCTTTTATGCATTATTTAAAAAAAATATTAGCATTATGCACTGCTTCTCTATATTCTCTCATTTTCCATACTCCTCCGTCCGCGCAATTTTCGTAAAAAGGGATACAAAGTTTTTCCTTCACGTATTAATATATAGATAATGAATAGAGAGAGGCCTTTAATTGCGTAAATAAGACTAAATTAGCGAATAGAACTGCCCTGGACCTGCCTGTGACGTGAGTAGCGCCGTTATCCTGCCAGACAAAGCCTGTAGGGAATTTCATTTATTTGTGTTGCTATTTTTACTGTGTAGCCACGAAACTCGAGTTCCGTAGAAATCAGAACCGTCACAGTTTCGTTCTATCTATTAATATGAATATATTCCAGGCTATGCTGTTGTATTTATGAAATTGTTATGCGGCCACGCTTTGCTGAGGCTTTATCTGATATTAATAAACCTCCTATTCGAAACGGATTTTGCTACAATCCTTTTTTTTTCTTATCGTTATTATTTTTTTATGTTAAAATGTAGATAAAGTTACGCCTCATAACATCAGTTATTTATATGTTTATGTGAGAATCCACTCAAAATGGGACGAGTCGTTTCGGAGATTAACAAGAATAAACTGAGCGATTGGCAGAAAAATCATAAGTTTTTTGTTATACCAAAATACCGTATATTATTTCATATTTAGTAAAAACCTGTTATTTTAGCATTACAAACGGACAATACAGTAATATTTATTGATATGTATTGTAAAACACTGGTGTAGTTATTTGGATGTTAATATAATCCGAACGTAAGCGTGTGAAGTATGTAGAAGTAAATGTCATAACCTTTCATAACGTCTTTGTATATAAGTTGAGATTCACTTATAAATTTATAAAAATGGTTCGATCTTTCTTGTAATTTCACAATAAAGGGGCGGAAAATTCTCAATATATTTAAATCGTGACTTAAAAATAAAACTTTCAACTTTAAATGGTTTAAATATAAATTATCTAGTTTTTTCCCCACTATGATATTACTAAGGAATATCGAAACGGTATTCGATTACAAGCTATACTAAATTTGGCGGGATAAAATAATTATTTATTTACATGATTTATTTTTATTTTTAAAGACTCTACTACGGAATGCTTCAATTTGTACACAAATACTCATACTAGTACGAGAGGTACTTACTAGTCCATTATGCATTATGCCGTATTTAAATGGTAAATCGTTGATTTCCCAAGACTTTTCTTTATTATATAGCTCAGGGATTCTCAAATATTTTGCGCAAAAGACCCCTTTTCCGAAATGAACTGATCCTGAATCCTCGGACCTCCATAAGGCGATAACCAAATTACTTTAAAAATCTGACTTGACATTTGCATTCCAACTCGGCGGGTTATTGCGGAACATCAACGGCATCGCCTGTACGGTCTGATGGGCTACCGTACCGCAAAACCCGGCATCCTTGGTCGTTGGACCCTTCGAACGGGTCGTTCTAGGGGTGTCGCCACGAGTCTAGTTGTAGTATTGACCGCGGAAACACCCTTACTCTGCTCGGGGTCTGACCTCGGGCGGAGATCGAACGTTACGTGAGAGAGTACAAGGGGAGTCACTTAGAGGTTAGGACCCTTAAAATACCTTAGGCTAGCGGTCTGCTCCCAATATATGCGGACCTCCAAGTCCCACATACTCCGCGCTCCCACTAAGTGCGGAAACCACGAATGAGATTCGGCCCCCTGTCCGAAAAAAAAAGTTTAACAATAATAAAAATAATTTGAAACTTCTGCCTCATGTCTCATGGTGGATAGTGACATTCATGCTGTGACATCCACGGGCCTCGTCTACCACTTTACACCGGTCGGACTGTGATTTTGTTCACCCAAATAAGGAAAACACAATATATACTTCCATTCTATCAGAATTGTAATAGTACTTGAAGCTTTGTTTTAATGTACAGTAAAGTATGCTCTACTACAAAATATTTTTCAGTATAGATTTTATTGGTGAATGTGAAAAATACATTTCAAGTACCAGTAAAATTGTTGCAACAAATGTGATTATTCTAATGACGGGACATTGGCCATTCAAATAAACCCGAGACTGCCACATTTGGATTTAAATCGAATGTTCGTAAATCGTTTTGGTATGTTTGCTAGTGGATTGATATTGGGTTCATGTGTGAGGGGCGAGGCTGCGCGCGCATCCCTTGAAACGGTAGCGCCACCGATGTCTCAGTCTCGACCGAGCTACGACAACTATCAACTGCTACGTCGTAGCACTCACACTGGTCAACTCATAATTACCGTCAAAGTGTGTGTTGTGTGATCTCAAAAGACCAGAGCGATTTATTCGAGATAAAAGGATAAAAGGTAAACATTAACTACGTGATGATATTCATTTCATCATAATAATTATGTATAGTGAATAGTCTATTTTCATTTCTGAAATATTGATGTCGTAACAACCACTAGTGGCGAGGTATTATATTTTCACTTCGCTTTGATGGACGTTCAGTTTTAAATCCTTTCATATTAAATGTATCTCGTTCGACAAATCGTTGCCAGTGATATAAGTATTTTATTTGGTCAATATTTATTTTTGATCGTCAAATTGTTAGTCGAAGACCGTTGAAATTGTTATGTAACGTGAAATAATCGAATTGGTTTACCAAATGATGTTACGGACGTCAATGACACAATGAGAAAACTTTCTTTTAAGGGAAAATTTTAATTATGCTTCAATACTTTCTATGGTGTAAAATTTTATTAGTAGTAATAAGTAATTGTTGTAAGTAATATATATTTTTTATCACTCGAATGTATTTATAGCTACATTATAGTAGAAGTACATACGTATAATTTTTTTTCTCTTTAAAGCCACATTAAACCGCTCAAGTGACCTAAATCGATCTAATTTATGCGGCTACAATCTAAATTACATCATTTCATGTTATTTATGTACAATAAATAAAACAAAATAGTTATATTAAAAACGCACATTATATTTAATAAATTTAGTTCTCGTGCTTGCGCTGGTGGCTACTTATAAAGGCAACTCCTACGCGAAACCATTCTTTGTTTAACGATGTCATACAAGTAGGTAACAATTCAGCTATTTAAAAATCTAAATTGTATATTAAAATACTATTATCATAAACACACATGAAATAAAAGAAAAAGCTAAAGAAGAAACCGAAAAATTCCCTCCTTTGGGTACGTTGCAATAGATATACATATAGCCCAAGGAGGATTAAGGCATGATACTCATGCAAAATCTTTATGCAGCTTAATAAGAGGACACGCTTCGCCGACCCCACAAAATATGGGGTGAGGGCAAGAAGAAGAAGACAATGGGTGACGATCTTTGGCATTATGTAGTGCATCATAGGTGGGTTTGGTGGCTGCGACCTTTAGATCGAATGTCGCCAGATTTATTAGCATCGATTAGCTTGCTCTAATACACTGCCTCCATCTTTACCATCTTTAGTAGTGATGTTACCGAAGAACTCTAGTCCACACGGAGACAGTGTGATATTGAAAAAAAAAAGAAGAAATTTGCTGTTAATTCTACATGCGCTGTATATTAGTGTTAGTAGTAGTAGCTTATTAGTTCAGTACTGATCTCACATAACTACTTACTCTTGTGTGTCGGGTTATATATTTTACAGTTTAATCGGAAATAACGACGGTGCATTATTTTGAGCCCTTTCAAGTCAAGTTGGCTGGATCTTTCGAAGAGATAAATGTGGCTCATTGGGTGTAAGGGGAAAATTATTATGATTTATGATACACTGTTAATGTATTTACTTTGAGAAAAAAATCTTGTTACTGAGATTTTCGTATAACTTCATTTACATTTCAGCATGTTCTTATCGCTACTTATTCGATGGTGTGACATCATACTCTATCATCAGTATTTAAGGCACGACAGACATTTATTAACTATTTAGGGATATAAGATGCAAATACATACTACAAGTTCTGCGTTCTCTGACAAAGCTTAATTTCTAAAAGTGGTTTTAAGTTTTAATGCGCTTTGTCTAAAATCAATGTAGCTACAAACTTCTTGCCTTTAATGTTTTTTATATTGAATTGATTAACAAATAAATCATTGTGTTTCATATCAATTATGTGTATCGTTACACACATATTATGTTACGTTCGATAATAGCGTTAATTACTAAATAATTTAGCGAAACGGTTACTTCTTAAAAAATATTGAATATTTCAAGCGTACCAAGATTATTTACACGTACATAGAATACTTAATCGCACCTTTAATATATTGTGTTCTGAGTGAACATGGGACTTATGGGAATTCAGTTTCTTAAGCTAATTATCTATTGCCGATTCTCAGTTCGTTAACAGAAAAAAAGCTTTAATCAAGACTGGTACATTGATTAATGGCCTTTCGCAAAACATTTCACACAGCCAAGCGATTAATCTGAGTTTGCCGATTTGTTTGGAGATGATGTGTATTTTTTGTGTCCACGGAAAAAGAAATTTCCAAGCTGAAATTAAAGTTATTTCTTACTTGAACATATTTCTGTTTAACTTATTTTTTGTTATTTATCTATGTATTTCATCTGAGCTACCCTTTGGCTTCAGTTCATGTGGATGTTTTAGGAAGACAGGCTAAGGTTCCTTAACACGTTGAACGCCATATGAAAAATCGAGTATTTTCATTCAGACCTGGGTTCTCACCGGTGAGCCTTATCTTACTTAACCATTCGGGCTACGAGGGTCACTCGTGAGCCGCGTGAGGGTTCCAACGTAAACGCTTCCTACAAGCCACAGATTTCAGCTATCAAACAAAACGCGTACTTATGGAATTGAGCCGCATGGCCCTTTAGTATTTTCATTCAAGCCTCGGTTCTCACTGGTGAGCTTATCTTACTGAATTGTTCAGGCCACGAGGGTCACCCGTGAGCCGAGAGAGGGTTCCAACGTTAACGCTTCCTACAAGCCACATATTGCAGTTATCAAACAAAACGCGTATGGATGCCGCCCGCGTGGCCCTTTAGCCGAACCGAACGGCGTGGTTTTGAAATCCAATAGAAACTTGTAGTTTTTTTTAAATATCTTAAAAACTACACGGCAAATGTCGCAAAATTTTATCTTCTGTCCAAATTATCGCATTTTATAAAGCTTAGAATGAAAGTCTCATGTTGATAAAAATTACTAGTTCCCTAATTTTGGTTTGGCCCGAACGGCATAAGTACGCTAGGCCCACCGGTTAAAAGCGTCCAACGTGTTAAAAAATTAAAATTTAGCACCACAGCTCATGTTCGTTGTACAAAATTAGTTGCAAAACGACAACTCCATACTTTCATATTATACTACAACGAACACGAAAGAAAAGGGCCGACAAAATAATAAAAAATTAGGTTACTACTACCACAACTGTAATTGAATGGCGGCAGTGCGTGTTGTAAGCCCGCATGGTTACCAATACCCTGCTAACTCCCGCCACAAAGTATTTGTACTAGTATGATGGTGGGACAGCCATTCTACGATATAATTGAAACTTAGACCTCACTTTCTAAGCTTGTTAGTGGCATTCACGTTGTGATGTCTATGGATTTTGATAACTCCTCACCCGCCTATGCAATAAATAAAGAAAACTTTACTAAAAAGTAATAATATTTCCATCACTTTTCTCAGGAAAAAGATTGTTTTTTACAAAGACAATAAGGGAGACGGTAAACATGTCCATATTTGGAAAGCTTATTTCGCAAAGCTTCGTATGTTCTTGTATGTATAAAGTGAAGATCACGTCCTAACACCTACACATTACAGTCGTTCGTTTGAAGCTACATTTTAAAAAAATAAGGTTCCGCCATTCCTCATTTTACTCCCGTTCGCACGGCTAGCATAGAAATGGTAGGTATATAATAAAAACATATTTGTCGTTGCGAATGAAGGAACAAAGCTAATGCTAAAATTTATGGTTTATTTTAAAACTTTTAAAATATTTATTAATAATTAAATCGTATATCCTACAACGGTGGCAGAAAGCACCTCTACTGTGTGGAACCTCTGCGCTCATCCATAGTGCGTTTCTTGAGAATTCTGACGCGTAACATGCGGATACTTGACATATTAATACCTACATTCGGCGTATTTAGCCTCGGAACGCTTCAATGTCATCTGCCGCGAGATCACTTATTACCGGTTGGAGCGTGAGATCGTTTACAAATACGGAAGAAAAAAAAACTAAACCGAAAATTAACAAGCCTCTATTCCTTTCCATAGTTGAAATTTAAAAATATCACATACACCTATAGCCTACATATATAGTCTCCAGTTACCGACGTACTGATCTCGGGTATGTACTGTGTGGTTCCATAAGTGTAACCATTTACCGGTAGCGGGGTCAGAGAGGAAAACAACAGCAGTTACATAATATTACCAACTGTCGACGCTTATCGATCCTGCTCTGTGGCAGACTGCCAATAACACCCCACCCGCCTCTTAAAAGTTGAAAGATGCTAAAGTTGATCCGGAAAAATTGCGAAGTACACGTTATAAGATTCAATATAACGATTCTTTCACCGCAGTTTCATCCAAGAAACAATTTTACGACGGTTATCTTTGGGATGCTTTGAAATTAGGTAAAAAGGTTCTTGATAAATATAATAATAAATCTGATATGATAATTAGTATAATGAAGACATGATGGTAACCAAACCGACTTCATTTTTCCACGTTTTCTAATCCCTTTAACTCCTATCTTTCATAATGGCGGTAGAGAGCATATCAGATAAATGACAATTCTCGTGTTATCTTGCAACGGGCACTATGAACTAATATCTCAAATGTACGGTGGTACTTGTAGTTTCATATGACGAAGAGACAAAGCAACCCAATCCACAAAAAATCATACTTTGTCGCTACGACCAGAAAGAGAACATAACAAATAGTTTTTCTAAAATAATTAAAATATTAATTAATTTTTTTCTTTTTGTTTTCAGACTAACATACCAGTCAACATGGCGTTCGCCGGATTAAAGAAACAAATTAACAAAGCCAATCAGGTAAAATAGCAGAATCTTTTCAGTTAAGCTTAGAAATAACTCAAAAATATGTTAAAACTTCGAAAACGAAAATGTCAAAGATCGTCTCGACGCTTGCTACGAGCTTTTCAGAATTCGAGGGAATAACATTTACAAATGGTATTTTTGGAAACTTAATTTTATGTATACAAACAAATATTTTTTCCGAGTTCTTAGATTTTGTTTATTAATTACGTTTCTGGATGGAATTTCCTTAGTATCGGGAGGGAAATGAATGAAAGTGGGTGTCAAGACGTAGGCTGGGTTTGTCTTAAGTCTATCTAAAAATAATGTTTACAGAAATACTTTGCTTTTAGCTAAACACGTATACATTTTTATTTATAATTTTACTTATTTCTTTATTTATTATATTTATTTATTTTGTTTTCGTCTTTGGTATTATAATCAATGATTAGCCAGAGAAAGGAAAACCCATAGTCACTCCCAATTTAAAATATATGTATATGTAGCTATATAGACAGATGTAGCATAAATGAAAAAGTACAGCGCTATCTATTAGATACTACTAGATATAACTATATATGTAGTCAGCATGGTAACAGTAGTAGTCAGTACAGTAACTATAACTATAGTCAACCTAACGCCACTCCACTAATGAAACTAGAAGGCATTACTGTTTCACGGCAGGAATAGGCATTTCGGTTACCTACTCTTAAAGCTTTCATTACGCTTTATTACCAGTAAAAAGCTATACACATTAAGTATAAGAGCTAAATACTACTTCCCGGTCGAAGTCGAATACAACTAATGGAAAGTGGTTACTGCCACATGTCGTTTCGGATCCTCCCGATCTACTAACGGTACTTTTAGGTATCCCAAGCACCAGTCATCGTTCTCGTCGGACCCGTCGCTTGCCACGAAGGGCTCGGCGAGTAAATTAATCCCACAGACACAGCCCACTGAGTTTCTCGCCGGATCTTCTCAGTGGGTTGCGTTTCCGATCCGGTGGTAGATTCTGCGAAGCACGGCTCTTGCTAGAGTTCGTGCTAGCAACAACGTCAGGCTTGAGCCCCGCGAGCTCATCTACGATTTCAGTGAATCTAGAATAACCCCTCGAGGTTACTAGAATAGTAATGAAAAAAAAAAGTTACTGCTACTGAACAGAAAATAAAAATGCGGTATATATTCTGTTTTAAAAATATTGAACGCATCCTGACATATTTTCTCAGGAATAACCTTCAGAGCCTCTTCAAAAGAAACAATTTCTCTTTACGCATTACATGAATAGTGACTTGTGATTATCGTTTAGACCCCATAATACTTTCGTATATTTTCGTATTATCTTACTTCTTTATAGGAGTTTCATTTTATTTTAAATAAACGTCGCCTAGATATTTCATGGTGTTTGTCTTAAGGGTAAAACAAAACATTTGCTCTGGCATGATATAGCGGGCTGGCAAATAAATTTCCCTGTAAGTAATAAGCATCCAAGATAAATGAAACAACGGAGCTCTGAATATTAACAGCTACTAAAGAATAATTAAAAAAATGTTTTGCTTTCAACCTGTCTGCGAAGGTTACACATTTTAATATTACACGATGTTATTAAAAAATTTCATTATAGTCAAATGACTCAGTAAAGCAACGTATGCCGAAAAACCGGTCAAATTACGTTTGTTTATTTTAATCAGCCCGTTTCATATTACAGACTTATTGAAGCGAGTTCAATATTCAATCAGTTTTAAAATCAACATTGCTGAAACAATTTTGGTAATACTAGTTAGTGAGAATTAAATTGGTGATATGAATTAAATTACGTCCGTGACCTGAACATGCCCTAATTATTGCTTCAATTATGATCGTGGAATCTACCGAATCCTGTGATCTCACTTTTGTTGATTGGAATATTTCAAGGAGTTATAGAGAACCACTTTAACGAACTAACTTCGGAATTTGTCTGTGTCTCTATTTAGGTACCTATAACGACTATTATTTATTAGTATTTGAAAATGGAAACAAGGAAATTAAATCGACATTGGACGTCACATCTTTGCACCGAGTGAGCAGTAACTTTATTTTTGTGCAGATAGTTTATAAAAAAATGTTTATTGTTATATATTTTTCGAAATCTATATTGGTAAAACAATTCGGCCAAAGCATCCATTCTTTTCACCCTACTAACTGAATCCTGTGTCTGAGATTCATGTAATGGCTGAGCACCAACGATCGTTATCATCATAAAAAAATAGTTATAATAAATTAATAGTCCAGGTTCGTTTTATCTGCTAAGGATAGGGTAATTTGAATTTTGTTCTGTTAGTCTTCCCGTACCTTCATACATAATTTGCCTAAGTCATTCATGGTTTGGGAGACAAGGTAAGAGTATATTTTAGAAAATACTTATTATTTTCTTGTATTAAGTACATTCTTTTAGGGAGTCACCTTATGGAATTCATATAGCTCGTAAAATTTCTTATTATTTTCGGGATTTTGTCGATTATGATATCGTCGGCTTAAGTTATTTACCTACCAGCAACGCACATACATGATATGGGCCTATTTTAGCGGTCTCTAATCATTTGAATCCGAACGGATTTAGAGAACGACTACGATGAATATTCATGATGTTTATCACGAAACGTAACTTGAAACTGAACTTGAACAGAAATTGAATAATTGTAGCCATAAAAGCACAGAATATTATAAGAAACTCATATTTATCGCTGATAACTGCGCAAATAACGTTTGATGATTTTCCTACCAAATAATGCCCTGAGCAAATATATGAATTGTTTAGTAACATTTACAAAATTATTTGCTTCCTAATTTCGGAATCCATTGTTTCAGTATGTCACAGAGAAAATGGGTGGCGCGGAAGGCACAAAATTGGATTTGGACTTCGTGGAAATGGAAAGAGTAAGGCTTTTTAACAATAATTCTACACTACACGTACCATTTAACAAATGTTTTTCTATAAATAAATAGTAAATATTTTCTGACATTTTTATTCCAAAAGTATTATTAGGTTAAGAACGGAATGATACTGTAAAAACGATAAGTAGTGGAGTAGCGACCTCGTACGTCGTAACGTGGGCAGACAACCAATGAGGTGTACCGACGACCTGGTGTCAAAGAAGCTGGTAAGGACTGGACGCGAATGGCAAGAGACCGAAAAGAATGAAGTGAATACCATACACCACATTGGGTGGACACAGGTTAAAGAAGAAAGAGGGAGAGAGAGATACTGCATAATAACATCAATAGACCTTTGCACTGTCTAACTTTATTATCTTTAACAAAAAAATATAAGAGACATTAAAATAAAAGTTTTAGAGCCTTTGTAATTGGAAGATCTCAAGTTGTAGACGCAACTGCACTAGTTCGACCTGGAATAATGGAAGTTGTTGCTTAAACTGAAGTAGTGGATGAGATTGTTGTGGTAGTGCTAGCAGTCGAAGAAGCTGTGGTTGTTGTTGAACCTGCAGTCGTAGCTTCTGCTGTTGTTGCCGAACTTGAAGTAGTGGCTGCGGCTGTTGTTGAACCTGCAGCTGTAGAAGCTGTAGTTGTTGAACCTGTAGTAGTAGTCGTTACAGCTGTTGTTGGACTTGCAGTCGTAGCCTCTGCTGTTGTTGCCGAACTTGAAGTAGTGGCTGCGGCTGTTGTTGAACCTGCAGCTGTAGAAGCTGCAGTTGTTGAACCTGTAGTAGTAGTCGTTGCAGCTGTTGTTGGACTTGCAGTCGTAGCCTCTGCTGTTGTCGCCGAACTTGAAGTAGTGGCTGCGGTTGTTGTTGAACCTGCAGCTGTAGAAGCTGTAGTTGTTGAACCTGTAGTAGTAGTCGTTGCAGCTGTTGTTGGACTTGCAGACGTAGCCTCTGCTGTTGTTGCCGAGCTTGAAGTAGTGGCTGCGGCTGTTGTTGAACCTGCAGTCGTAGATTCTGCTGCTGTTGCCGAACTTGAAGTAGTGGCTGCGGCTGTTGTTGAACCTGCAGTCGTAGCTTCTGCTGTTGTTGCTGAACTTGAAGTAGTGGCTGCGGCTGTTGTTGAACTTGCAGCTGTGGAAGCTGCAGTTGTTGAACCTGTAGTAGTAGTAGTTGCAGCTGTTGTTGGACTTGCAGTCGTAGTTTCTGCTGTTGTTGCTGAGCTTGAGGTAGTGGCTGCGGTTGTTGTTGAACCTGCAGCTGTAGAAGCTGCAGTTGTTGAACCTGTAGTAGTAGTAGTAGTTGCAGCTGTTGTTGGACTTGCAGTTGTAGCTTCTGCTGTTGTTGCTGAGCTTGAAGTAGTGGTTGCGGCTGTTGTTGAATCTGCAGCTGTAGAAGCTGCAGTTGTTGAACCTGTAGTAGTAGTAGTAGTTGCAGCTGTTGATGGTGAACTTACAGTTGTAGAAGCTGTCGTTGTTGCTGAAGATGTAGTAGTAGTAGTTGCGGCTGTTGTTAAACTTGCAGACCTAGATGCTGCTGTGGTTGTGCTTTGTGTTGTGGATGAAACAGTTTCAATAGTAGTTGGGGTTGAAGTCAAACCATCTGTCGTAAATGCTTCTGTTGTTGTGGGATTACTCGAAGTCGTAGTAGCCGAAGTTGAAATTATAGGTTTATTATCTATCAGCGAGACTGGAATTATTTTCTTTGGTAACAGTTCTGTCCCTAAAATATCGTCGAGATATTCCTGAATAATTGGCATAACAGGAATCGCTGTACTATACTTTGGGTTTTTCCTATGCGTTCGATTTCTTCTATCTCTTTTAAAATATGGCGCCGTTTTAATCCTTGGATTCAATGTAGTGTGTTGTAAATAACTGTTTAAATTGTAACAAGTTCCAACTTTTATAAAGTCAAGTTTCAAACACTTCATTCTAAAAAAAAACAAAATTAATCAAATTATAATCCTGAAATTATTTGCTACATTTATTTAATGATACTTACATACACTCCGATGCTATAACTTCTCCAGGCTTACATCTGACCATGTTTAACAATGCTGGTAATTTAAAACATTGTGGACAGAATAGTCCAATTTGAATGTGGCCGACTGTATTCGTGAATAAAACAAACAGAGCCATCAGAGGAACTGTAAAAAAAATTACATATTCATCATCATCAGTCTACAGGCGTCCACTGCTAGAAATAAGCCTCTTCTAAAATATTATAAATTTTATATTCAACTCTATTAAATCAGTTAATGAAAAACGTATGCGGCGAATATGAGTAAAATTTTACTACAAAATTATTTCAATTAAAAAATATCATAATTCATTTAAAATTAAAATGTATTAAAAACTTCTAATTAGCAAGCGTGGAACGTTAATTATTTTCAATTTCAATATAAAGTTCACTTACTGTAAAACTTCATGTTTGGCTTTGTTGCAAGGAACACATTAATAAAGTAAATCGTGAAGGGAATGAACCAACTATTTATAATGAAACGAATTCTGTTCAATTCTGTCGTCACAAAACAGTAACGAACAATAAATAAATTTTGCAGCTGTATTAACCGAAAACATAAGTGCTAATTATAAACTGAATGGAGGATTACCATTAAAATAATACTTGTCGAAGTTTTGTTTTGTCGTGGATCGCGAATATAAAAATAATAACTTAGAAAACATTTTAGATTGTAATACTTCTCTGCTTGGAATTAAAAAAAAAAACTTAAGAATCAAGTCTATCCTATCTAGGGTAAGATAAACCGAAATGTCTAGTAACTAACAATAAAGTAACTTAAAAAAGATAACACAATACAAACAACATAATACAATGCTTACACGTACAAATAATAACTAGGCTACTCTAGTGCCCCCATGTTAATCCAGCACAGTGATAATATTTCAGCTTTTTTTTTTAAATACCACACCATATGAAATTGTGTTCATGTTCTCAAGAACCAATCTTAAAATCTTTCTTATTCGTGTAAAACATAATTGAAACACTAATATGTATTAAACTTAAAATAAATTGTAAAAGTTAGGTAGCAAATTAATAATTAATTTAGAACCTAAAAACATTGTTTTAAAATATGCTTTTGAATTGCTTCAGAAAACAGACGTAACGTGTGAATTGGTTGAAGAATTGCAAACGAAAACCAAAGAGTTTCTACAACCAAATCCAACGGCTAGAGCGAAAATGGCAGCTGTCAAGGGAATTAGCAAACTGAGCGGACAGGCGAAAAGCAATACCTACCCACAACCTGAAGGAGTGCTCGGAGACTGCATGTTGCATTACGGAAAGAAACTTGGCGAAGATACTATATTTTGTACGTATTTCTTCCTGATTTTGGCAAATAAAGTTGTTCTTTTTTTATTGCTTAGATGGGTGGACGAGCTCACAGCTCACCTGGTGTTAAGTGGTTACTGGAGCCCATAGACATCTACAACGTAAATGCGCCACCCACCTTGAGATATAAGTTCTAAGGTCTCAAGTATAGTTACAGCGGCTGCCCCACCCTTCAAACCGAAGCGCATTACTGCTTCACGGCAGAAATAGGCTGGGTGGTGGTACCTACCCGCGCGGACTCACAAGAGGCCCTACCACCAGTAATTACGGAAATTATAATCACATCGAATTATAATCAATATTACAATAAAATGTTTGTTAAAAGTGTATATTGTATTTTTTTTAAGTTTTCAATTACTAAAGGTTTATTTTATTACAATTACTAAAGATTACTTACGTAGTACTTAAGATTACTTATTTTTAACGCGATGTCGTTAATCGTTTTGTCATTTTAGCACAATGCCTCATCGAGATGGGAGAGGCCCTAAAACAGATGGCCGATGTAAAGTATTCGCTAGACGATAACATCAAGCAAAGTTTTTTGGAACCTCTGCATCACTTGCAGACCAAGGATTTGAAGGAAGTCATGGTGAGTATTTACACGAAGCTAATCAGTGTTCAGAGCATAAGGAATCTTTAAATTAATTTTGGGATTTCATGTTTGAAAGTTGTGTTTATGTAATGATGATCTTTTTGACTCCAGCACCACCGAAAGAAATTACAAGGACGCAGGCTCGACTTTGACTGCAAGCGTCGAAGGCAAGCGAAAGGTAAAACATATTATTATACTGTATCTTATTGACCTCAAACTTAACAATATTTATTTTTGCTTATTCTTATTGTACTTCGTGTCCGTTTCTATTTCAAGTTATTTTAAGTTTATTTCTTTGATTTATCACACAGGCCCTGGTAGGGCCAGCCCTTATATGAGTCCAAGCCATGGTTCAGCAAGACATGGTATGTTGATACCTAAACTATACACGCTAGAAGTCACCCACTAGATCACAGCGCCAGTTTTTATTTTCCTGTAGATATTAAAACATTTGCTTGTCTCTTCCATGTTTTTGCTCCTGTCCTGCGTCCGTGCCCCTCGCAACCATCACTTCACTCATGACCGGGTATTATTTCGCCGTTTGGTCTGTATTTTTCTTTTCTTTTCTTTGATTTTATTTTATCTTATTGTTGTACGCTTCGTTTCGAACCATCGCGTCGTGCTTGAACATTGATTCTGTTTTATTGAAGCGAATTTATATCAGGATCTCATATTCCAGACGACGAGATTAGACAGGCAGAAGAGAAGTTCGCGGAGTCCCTGCAACTTGCCCAAGTCGGGATGTTCAATCTTCTTGACAACGACGTACGTATAAACGGCCAAACCTACAAAATATTTTAATTTGACTTATAAATATCCATACTACCTGGAGCCACTGCGTTCATCCACAGTGTGCTTTCAGAGATCTTTTTTGCCACGTACCAACCGGCTTTAGAATGAACTCCCCTCTACAGTGTATCGCGATATCCTTCTTCAAACGAAGCTTGTGGAGAGTACTTAACGGCTGCCCCTGGCATTGCTGAAGTCCATGGGCGACGGTAACCACTCACCATCAGGTGGGCCGTATGCTCGTCTGCCTACAAGGGCAAAATATGTATTTCGGGTTAAAGATATTTTTTATTCTCAAAAGAATTACATAAATTCACTTAAATGAGAACAATAAAATAGTTATAATTAATTTAGATCGTGCAGTACATGACAATAATTTATGGTAACAACATGCGGTGCTATGACAATATATTTAACAAAAACTATAAAGATTATTATTTTCTTAAAATGTATAAAGAGGGTAGATTACCACAGAAGCNTAAAGATATTTTTTATTCTCAAAAGAATTACATAAATTCACTTAAATGAGAACAATAAAATAGTTATAATTAATTTAGATCGTGCAGTACATGACAATAATTTATGGTAACAACATGCGGTGCTATGACAATATATTTAACAAAAACTATAAAGATTATTATTTTCTTAAAATGTATAAAGAGGGTAGATTACCACAGATTGTATTTATAGATATATGTATATATGTATTATTATTTTCTAGGAGGAGCAAGTGGCGCAGCTCGCTTTCTTTGCGGAAGGTTTGCTGGAATACCATCAACAGTGCACGGAGATCCTCAAAGGACTTGTTTCTCAACTCATGGAAAAGTATGTTGAACTATTTTAGAATACGACTTCTTATAATGGTTCCTTGTGACGTCAGCAATATCATTTGTTTGAGGGTAACGGCACAGGGAAAATCTTCAATCGCGCGGGTGAAATTGCTCGATTTTGCTAATTTATGTTGATAATATCTTTGAGATTCAGGCATTTGTCGATTATCTTGTATTTTATGATAGCTACTTGCTCCAGTTTTTTGCTGACGTCAAGTATAAATAATTAAGAAGTTTCCCCACAAATCCATCGAGACAGCTCGACTACAGGTTTTGTTAAAGATTACTAATGCTCAATTTAAAAAAAAACAATTGTATAGTCTAGTGAATGGGCTCACGAACCACCTGATGTTAAGTGTTTACCGGAGCCTATAGACATCAACAACGCCAAATTCCGCCACCCACCTTGATTCATGATTCCTAAGTTTCAGTTCTATAGTACAAACCGAAACGCATTAAAAGTAGAGTGGTGGTAGGTTAAAAATGTTTTTTTCATAATAATTTTATTATCTTTTAGAACGGAATAAATAAATGAATAAACTCGACTTGAAGCATGTCATAGAATTCTCGTATTTATGCTCCTAGTAACGGTCCAACAATCAAACTGTCGAGCTCGTTTGAGCGAGACGAATGCAAAACCCAATATGTACTATCTACATTGCTGGGGCCACAAGTTGGCCCAACTAGCCGTGTGTAGATACAGTCTTTTAATTTGTGGAAAAAAATCGACGGTCGCATGACAAAGTGTCAAATGTTACTGATGATGGCCATACGCAACCAATTGTTTGGACGATGGTCGGCGTTTGCGTATAATAGGTTGGGGAAAAGTCTTTTCGCATTATAGTATGTATGAACTTCTAATAAAATCTCTTTGGCTATACTATTTGTATCTGGCTGGTTTTGGTTATGACCTCCGCACGGTGGCCGGCAAGAAGTGGATGAGGAGAGCCGCAGACCGGGCTCAGTGGTGTGGATTGGGAGAGGCCTATGTCCAGCAGTGGACGACTGTGGGCTGTTGATGATGATGATGATGATGATGATGGTTTTGGTATCATTAAAAGTTTAAATTTTAAAGAAGATAATTCCAAATTCAATTCAAAAAATGTTGTGAATTTTCTTAAAAAATGCGAAGAAACTTTTTCCTCAACCTTATTTATTACACACACTTAACCAGTTAGGTGATGACTTCCTTATCAGCTATCTATATACTTATAAGCTGTTATGTATAGTATAATGTATGTAATACCCTGTTATATATAGTATATGTATTTTACTACAAAAAATCATAATTAATATCACCGAATGAATTTAATAACCAAGCTTGAATTATTTTTGAATCAGGAAAGAGGAAGCGATCAACCGTCCGAAGATGGAGTTCGTACCGAAGACGCTAGCAGACCTGAACATCGAGGGCATGCATGATTTGAACCATGGTAGGCGGTACGGTTCTAGCCAGAGTCTCTCCCGTCCCCGCCAGCCCCTCCCCCCCTCGTCGTCGGTCGGCGACCTCTCCACCCCCGACCCCTTCCGAGCCTGGGAGGCGCCGCACACTGGCCCGCGCACTGGCCCCCACGCTGGCCTCCACGCTGGCCCCCACAGTGGCCTGCGACCGGCGCCAGTCTTCAAACCTCATCCCGCACCTCGCGCGCAACCCAACGGAAAGGACCCTTGGACAGGTGAATCGGGTTTTATTTGCAGCTCATCTTCATTTGGTTTGGTTCGGTATTCTTATTTAACGGTTATGGGATTACTTGCTCAAATAATTTTGCTTTTGTTTTGTTAAAAAATATACTGGTGGAGGTTTTGTAGAAAGAAAACATACATATTAAGGGTATCATTGCAAGTATGTATAGTAAATAATGTTAATTCTAAAAGTAATATAAAAAAAAAAATTTAATCAAAAAGATCAACCCAGTTTTTAACACATCACGCTTCTCATGGGATTCACAATAAAGACATTACATTTCGTCACTAATAATAATCGGCACTTTTTACATATTACTCATCGTTATATAAAAAGTTAATGATTGTTCACAGTCATCCCGTGATTTAAAAATCATTCACTCTGAACTATAGTGTCTTCTCTTGAAACGTATATATTTATAATAGAAATTTATAGGGTCGTTCAGCTCCTTCGATATAAACTTCCACGACAGATCTAAATGAATCTGGCCGTAATATCTCTATTTACACACTGAACTTGACTAAAGTTTTATGCAGAAAATAAAAATTAAATTAATCCATCCATACAAATACATCGTAGCTTAAAGGATAAGGCGCCCGGTACAGTCGTATCGAGCGATGCAACCGAGCCGGTGTTCGAATCCCGCAGGCGGGTACCAATTTTTCCATTAAATACGTACTTCGCAAATTTTCACGAATTACTCTCACGGTAAAGGACTAACATCGTGTAATAAAAATCAAACCTGTAGAAATCATAATATGCGTAATTAGCTCGTCCACCCATCTCGTAGTAGTAAAAAAAAATGAACTGAAATAATGAAAAAATGAACTAATTTTACGTTATCACGTTTACAAATGAGTTCCCAAGCGATAAAACAAAAATTAGTTTAAAAAATACTATATTTAACAGACAATATAAAAAAGATACAGTAAAAGCTTCTTAATCGCGCTTCCTTCATTCGCGGATTAAAAAATGCGACCCGACTCCTTATTCGCGGATCTAATCAATACTTCGGTTAAGGATTGCGTTATGTAGGTATCCACTCTAATATCCTTTGTAAACGCGTCGTCAAAAGCACTAATAGGATAGAAAAGTAAAACAGAACTTATTATAACTATGCCTAAAGTATATTATTATGGTCAAAAACTTCAATTAAATTCATTTTTGTTTTTATATACATACATAAATTCTCGGTTAACACCTGCTACTGATGTTTTATGAAATAAGTAATTTCTTTTCAATTCTGGTGTTATTTAATTTTGCCTTTTATAAAACCCGCATATTGAGACTGAATTTATGTTTATATTATTATAAATACACCCAATTGTTCCACTAATCAGTATTGAATCAATTGAATTGAAATGGTAACACTATAATACACCGATTCTGACAATGTACAAATACTCATACGTGGAAATGGGAAATGAAAGTAACATTTTAGTAATATTAATAAAACACTAGTGCTAATAAAATTTTATGCACAAAAAATATGTACGTAAAATAACAGGAATGTGTATATTAAAACGTTGACTGCCATATGGTACCACGCGGCGCACTGAAGTAATTATGTCAATTTATCTCTTCGATCTTCTTACAAAGGCGCCGGAATATCTAGTAGACTCTGACGGGAAGACGAATCCGAAGATACTGAGAATGAATGTATTTTTAAGAGACTTATAAAAGAATGAAACAAGCACATTAACAAACAAAAGAAGGCTAATTTAGGCAATCCAAGCGCTTAGTAACAGAAATCGACATGATTACTTCAGTGCGCCGCGTAGGACACCGGTGACCAACACGGCAGTTGACGTGTTAATAATCCCTAAACATATGAATAGTTTTATAGAATGACAATTTCATACGTGAATAATAAACAAAATATAACAGAAATATGATAATAGTTATGTACTTGTAGCAACTATTATTTACATGTCTATAAATGAGTGGATTTTTTTGTTTGTTTATAATCTTTAATTAATTTAGCTTCGTTTTTTTTTCTGTTCTAACATGTTCAAGGGTTCAATAATCGATGATGGGGGGTGCGATAATAATTGTACAGAGATTTGTTACAGGTCGCCGAACTTCCTTATCCTATTACATCCTAATTCCGATATCTGAATATTACATACGTATATCATTTATGTGTTGTATATGTTAAATACAAGGTCTTCATAGAGCTAATGCGTACGGGAATAAAAATTCAACTTTTCAACCTAGAATAAAAAATTAAATTTGCTATCTAAATCGAAGACTTTGTATGTATCATTATTAGTAATTGTGTTCCCTGAAAGACGTATTTATTTGAATATATGTGTGTGATTGTTATTCTTCTTCCCTAGTCGATATTTGATGTTCTATCTTCCTGAGAACGTTCAATGTTCAGATCTTATCTAGACGAACATTATTGACATGCACAATGCAGAAGACATTCACACTTTAAACCAATAATACAAGGGGATATCGTTTTTGAAAATATTATAATGCAACAAAATGATAATTAATTAAATTAATTTCTGTTCATAACATGCAAGTCATAAAGAAACATTAATAATTTATTACATTGAGAAGCCAAATTTATTTGTATATTTAGAAATAAAATATAAAGTAGTAATAATTGAGTGTGGGCTATTGTATTGTTTCTCTGCTGGGCAACTAAGGTGGCTCGCAAGCCGGCTCCCCTGAGCACAAGCCCCCGTCCAACTTGGAGTTATTCCCGGGCGGTGCGCAGCGCTCCAACAATGGTAACACTCGAAGACACACAAACAAATATATACTCTAAATACAAACAAGACACACACACACACACACAGTAGTACCGACATCACACTATACAACTGAGATTTAGACCATGCCTTAATATAGGTGGCGGCATTCGCTTTGCTATATGTATTTGGCTTTAGTTTTTTTTTTCATAAATAGGCGCTGGTCATGAGAATGTTTATGCAATTATCTATGCAATTAAAAAAAAGGAACATTAGGCCTCAGAGGGTCGTACACGAATAATAGTCTGGTTTTTTATCATATAACACTGATAGGAAGCTTACCAATACTGCTGCTTTACATAGCTTTTTTTTATTGCTTAAATGGGTGGACGAGCTCACAGCCCACCCGGTGTTAAGTGGTTACGGGACCCCCATAGACATCCACAATGTAAATGCGCCACCCACCTTGAGATATAAGTTCTATAGTCTCACTCTGTATAGTTACAACGGCTACTCCACCCTTCAAACCTACCTATAGCTACGTTAATCCTAATTTTTCTACCTAACTCCTAATTCCTATCGAAGGTATTCGTGATAAAACGCGACCGATCCTTCCCAATTTCACTGCAAAGTTGCCAGCTGAAGCGACACAGCGATCGTTATTTTAAATCGTGTTAATCGTGTCCTGTGTCGCCATCAGTGAATAAATGTATTTTTTGCTCACAAAAATAAACAAACATATACCAAACATACAAAACATACAAACCCTCACACGACAAAACAGCGGTTATAATGAACGGCTTCTTAGTTTCAAACTTTATTGTTAAATTTTGTTTCATGTAGGTATGTAGGAAAAACAGTGTTCAGTAGATTTATAATACAGAAATACACTACAACGCACGTAACACGCTTATGACGGGCTTGAGTGACTGTGTGGTATATATATATTTTTTCGATTGGCTTTAAGCTGTTTTGTGATAAGACAGCGATCTCTAAAATTAATAGAAATAGAGTAGACTTTTAAAAAACATCAATAGCTTATTTCATTTGCTGTGCATGTCAATATCATTCATTGAAACTATGAAAATTAGGTGTTGTTTGTTTCATTTCAGAGAGTAATCTAACAACTTTAAAATTAATGATTATTATTAAGAAAAATGGATCACGTTTAAAAAGAAAGTTGTTAGTTTATCTAAAGCTATCATCGACGCAAATAACAGATTAAAATCAGTCATTAGCCATGTTGTTAATAAATATTTGTGTAACTTAGAGATAGTCTTGCATTGGCAGTCAGTCAGCTTCAAACACAATAGAAAGACGAATGTAATCGTTCCTAGATTACAACATATTTATTAATTACTAACTAAATGTTCCATTCTACATCAGTTTCAACTGGAAATTTCATATCATACATAAGATGACTGGTCGCATCGCAATTCGAATTTTATCTCAACATCAAACTCTTCATTCACAAATTCGCGCGAATTTTTTGGCAGAATAAAAATTAGTTTAGGTGGTCATTAACGACTTAATAGAAACAATTTTCAGCTAGACACAACATTGCATTTCCAGCTGCAATTTGAAGATGAAGTCAAAACATTCCGCAATTACAAAACATTAATTTTAATTAATTTAGAATCTGCCAAAAGATTCGTTTGTCGTAACATAATACTCGTAATAGTGCGTGTCTGAATCAAGCCGTGTCCGTAGCTTCACCGCTCCCATCGCCCGTGAAGTCGCCGGCGCGAACACCGATGGCTCCCAACAAGGCTCCGTGCTGTACTGCTCTGTATGACTTCGATCCGGAGAACCCGGGAGAGCTGGGCTTCAAGGTAAAACCATCTCAAGGCCATTTTAAGTTTAGTACTTCTTTAGTTAGCGAAGAGGATTTAACTAAAATGAACTTCCGACTATTTTATAAATATACAGTTTTCAAACGAGTTTTTTACATAGTCACTTACCTACATAACAAGATTGTGCATGATTGAAGGGAAACAAATTATGTAACAGATGCGTATTATGATTTTCAAATACTGCCTATTTATTTATACACTAAATTTAAATAGATTTGAGAAAACTGACATTTAAATATTACTTGGTAAAATTATTACTATAATGTTAAATCCAAGCGGGTTGGCACATGTTGCTGCGGTTGAAAGTAATGCATTGTGGTTTGATTACTTTTTTTGAAGATTTTATGATGACCTACTATGATTTGAGTGTAGGATAATTGGGTTATTTCAAAGTAGTTCGAAATTCGTTACGAGGTGGGCAGCGCCATCTAGGTTTTGGAGGAACAGCCTGTCTGCCCTTCTATTCCAAAAAAATTGATCATCCGATCCTTCCAACATTACTACAAAAGTCCTGAGAGACCAACACTTACATTGTCACATTCAAAACCCAAAAGAATATCGATCCTTATTCTTTTTTCCCATGTTTCTAGATTTTGTTGGCACAATAAACAACTGTCGTAATTAGATTTGGCTCAAAGTATTACAAACTTATGAATTTAAGCAAATCTAAATAAGAGTTTGTAGCAAGAATAATTTAGTAATGAGTTTAAATACTACTACAGATGGATGATTAGGCATTTGTAAATTTTTTCATTGCATAGATGGGTGGACGAGCTCACAGCCCACCTGGTCTTAAGAGGTTGCCGGAGCTCATAGACATCTACAACGTAAATGCCGCCACCCACCTTGAAATATGAGTTTTTTAAGGTCTCAGTATAGTTACAAAGGCTGCCCTACCCTTCAAACCGAAACACATTATGTACTGGTTCACGTAGATATAGCCTGCCTGTACGGGCTCACAAAAATATTTTGATAATTATCAAATCATATGATAGTATCATATACGTATATGATAATTATCAGATTTTGCTGATAAGCATATCCGTGTATTTTTATAATGATTATGATTCCAGGAGAACGACGTGATCACGCTGATCAACAAGGTGGACGACAACTGGTTCGAGGGCAGCCTGAACGGCAAGACGGGCTACTTCCCCATCAGCTACGTTCAGGTCAACGTTCCACTGCCCAATATGTAAACTTGGAACATGTAGGTGTAACACAAACATTCACTTTTAATTGAATATGCAATTTCAAAAAGGGCACATGTCGCATATTCTGTCAAATACGTTTTTTCATATACATGTAGTTTTGAGGCTTACCTACACCCATTTTATAATAATTCCAGTAATTTTCAATTGCTAATTAACACTAAAATATATCTCAAAAGTTAATATTTTAAATTTTACACTGCTTTAGAAAATAATCAGTTTTTTTTATTTCCTGAACATTTTACATTATAAGAGATGTGCCCTTTTCGAAATTACATATTTAATTCATTTAAGGCATTTTAAAAATGTGTGTTTAATTTTACATTAGATCATACGGAATACCCTTACCCTTAACTATGAAATATGATTAACTGATCGTTTTTCTGACGTAACTTGTGTTACACCATTGAAATAATCTTCATATACTAAACGCAGCTATTACATAAAGGATTAATATGAATTGTTCGTAACTTCAATCGTGTCAAAAGCTCAATGAAATTATCCAATCAAGTGTATTTTATATACATTGTGTGAATACAGACTTTTTTGTTTAGAAGAAGTCTTCCCGATATTACACTCCATTTTAGAATTGTTTTTAAAAAGAAAATTCAAACAGATCTATTGTGTTATATAATTAATAATAAATAAAAACCCGTATAATACGCCAAAGAATACCTTAATGATAATATTATTGAATTCAATATACGTGTGTATGTATTATTTTATTTCCTTTTTTTATACACATTATTTTCCAAATGAATTGAGGTCGTATTTTGTAATAAATCTTATTATTAGTTTAACAAAGACGTATGCTATAATTTATACATTTTTCATGTTGCCATTTTATTCGTGACTGCTATTGTAGGCCTACCGCTTAATCGATAGTTAGTTGCGCGGGGGAGGGGCGAGGTAGTATGATGACGTCACTTTTATGTAAAAGACAATCGCCCATACCATTGGCAATACAAGGCGATTTCCCTGATTAAGAAACCCCGAAACAGAATTTAAATTGATATGATTTCGTCATTCTTTTCATACGACCATTCAAGTGGAGTATAGTCATTAGAGTATATTCATTCAAGTGGATTCAAGTGGAGTATGATAAACCATTAACAAGGACAGTTATTAAAATCAAAGTATGAGATAATGAATAAATCAGGTGACTCCTTAAATTTTTTTGGCTACTAATCATATAACACGTTCTTTCACGTTTTAAATTATTTTTTTAATGGAATGGAATGTAATGGGACCTGGTAATGAGACTTTTAAGCTGAGTCAATTTATTTTCTTCGTATATGCTGTTATAATATGATAAATGATATGAAGCGAAATGAGATGAAGTTGATTAACTTGAGACTTTAATCAATTGGTGTGAAAAACCACCGTTATAACACATTTAACTCTCAAGGATAACTAAATTAACAAAATAAAACAATTCACAATTCACTTCGCTACTCGCGTTTCACCCAGATGTCACACTTAGACCCTCATATATTATAAAGTACGTAATATTTGCTAGAAAAGATTAAGCAATACTGTTGTTCTATTACTTCAGCAGCCACCATCATTGAGCGGTAGGTCTATTATATTTTAGCAAATTAGTTGTAAGTTTGGAACAAATTAATTTGTTTCCGTATGTAGATATTAAAATATACCAGTTATATTATTTAGTTACATTAAGACTATTGTTTAATATGATTGTAGAATCGAAAAACGTTGGTTAAAACTTTGAGCTTGTCAAAATACTATCATAAAATTGAAAGGTATAATGAATCTCAGATAAACATAGTTATGATAGTCAAAGAAATTAAAACACCAATTATTCATGTTTCCATAAGAAAAACACTGTTATCGTAATAAGAATGCGGTAAAAATTAAAACGACTTTTTGGCGTTATGCTTACATTTTCCTTAATTCATTGTTGATTTTTTCCTCTCCATAGCTCGAAGTTTTGATGTAGGTATGTGATTTACAGCTATTGCGATGCGTAGGGCAGCATTGATTCCGAACAGTGATATTATGTGTATTTACTCTATAATAAACATATTTTACATGTAGTTTATAAAATAATTTTTTTGTGTAATGTTTTATTTAGAATACCTTCTACTACTATCTACTTATTTGTGTGATGAATTGTTTCATCATTTATTTTGTTAAATACACGGCACTACTTAATTGACTAGAATGATTGATGTAAAACTAGTTAAATGTTTGAGATTAGTGATTTTGTGGTTAATTAGTTTGTCTACATAGAAATTACTGTATGCTCATATTGCTGCATGATTGTGTATGTTAAGATGACGGTCTTGCCACCAACATTAAGTTTAAATTTTTACGTGAATTAATATAAATAATTTCATTTATGTTTTAAGGAGTTTTCATATTAGGTGTATTTTCAAATGTTATATTGTCACCTTCTTGGATATCAAATTTAATATGTTTAACGTAATTTACTCCCAAAAATAAATATTAAAAAATAATAATTTTATCATATACGAATATAGAACAATTATAGTAAAAAATATTTTTTGAACTCGCACACTCATTTCGATTTAATTCACTTATAAATACATATTTAAAAATCGATTAAAATATCCGAGTGGAGTACATTTTTCATCATCCCTAAAATCACATATGCTAGTATTTAAATAAATAAAAGTTATCATAATAAATATTAATGTTGTCAATGTGGATGTTGCAAAAGTTAATTAAATTTCATCGCATCATTTGTGTAGTAATCGGAACTCATTCGATCATGTTTCTGGCATAGAAAAGACAATACCTAGATCTAATGTTAGTCGTACGTAAGTTCATAAATGGAATGTTCTTCAAGTGTCTCTTAATATAAGTATATCGAGTATATTATAATAATTATCTTCAATGTTACAAGAATCGATATTTTAACGTTCAAAAATACCGCGATGCGGATATAATTATTGCATGTGTCCTTCGTCTTAAAATTAATACTATTCACATATATTCATTTTGAATATGACTGTTAAGTATTGTTTATTAAAATTTCTAATGGCTTGCAAAAATTGTTGGGAACGTAAAGTTCATTAGGTATGTTGTCGCTTCGCACCGTGTACGTTGTAATAAGCAAAGGAATCAATTTGTTTCCAAAATACTCGGGACAGAGTCGCCCGTGTAGTAGACAAATAAAAACAGCATATAAAAATTATATTCTTGAAAATACAACCACTTATTTAGTAATCAAAATCTGTGATGCGCAAGTAATAACACTAAAATACTAAAATTTGCAAATAAAATTAGTCTGCATTATTTATCACACAAAACAAATTTGTATAGTTTTTGGGATCTTCTATCAGTAGATTCTAATATTCGCTAACGGTGCGGCCACACGAGTTGTCTTGTTACTATGTGCTTGTTCATGTTACTGTAATCTTGAATATTGTGTAATTTTAATAGGTGTATCTTGACAAATTGCCAATTGTAAAGCAATAAAATTGGTTTGTATTTGAAAATATCCAAAACGCTCGTTTTCGCCTATTAATAAAATGTTAACAATTAAAATTAAGTTAAGCGTTTTCATTTCTTATTATAATTCCCTAAGTAGTGTTAAAATCACCATGTAAAACAAGAAATCATGAGTCCCACCTTTTACAGCTAGATCTATTTCTACCGAAATTTCTACTAGAAACAGGCCATTCGTCCCGGTTTGAAGTCTGGGGCAACAATTGCACTATTAAAACTGAGACATAGAACTCATATGTCAAAGTGACAGGTGGTGTTCCATCCAGGTGGGCCGTGAATTCGTTCGCATATCTGTACAATAAACAACAAAAGAAAAAAAAGACTGAAAAAGAATTGTATACATCTATAGAGATTTATAACGGAACCAAATATCCAAGCGTGCGATACCGCCCCCGCCGCTGCCTTAGCCCCCGCTGCTACAGACCTCTGAGCCGGGGAACACGCACCCTCGGCGCGCGAAGACGACCGGCAAAATATTGGCAATCTTAGCTTGTCTGTACTTTTTTCAACTCATTTAGTTTTATTTCACTTAATTGTATCGCTTTTCTATTAAAATATTATCCAAATCAGTGTTAACATCATTTCCATATCCTCTTTGCAAACAGCCCGGAACACTGAACACACTTTACTGGTGGTAGGACCTCTTGTGAGTCCGCGCGAGTGGGTACCACCACCCTGGTTATTTCTGCCGTGAAGTAGTAATGCGTTTCGGTTTGAAGGGTGGGGCAGCCTTTGTAAATATACCTGAGACCTTAGAACTTATATCTCAAGGTGGGTGGCGCATTAACGTTGTGGATGTCTATGGGCTCCAGTAACCACTTAACACCAGGTGGGCTGTGAGCTCGTCCACCCATCTAAGCAATAAAAAATAAAAAAACAAACCCACAAAAAACTCACAAAAGCCCCGTCAGTTGGAATTTTTAGTGTTAAAGATATCATTTAGTATCTTATCTTACTACATAACATTACCTCGATGTTATGGAGAGTACTCAAGTGCCGTTATCCTCAATTTCTACTCCAGTCCTATGGAGAGCCGTCAATAAGTACATTGTGATATTGAGAACTATCGTATCTCATGTTTTAGGGATGGTCCATGTATAGATCTGCCTATCTGTACTGTAGCTATGTATAAGTTCAATGTACTTGTAGTATGCAGTTTGTTCCTGTGGCAAGTACCAAATCTTCAAAGAAATTTTTTTCTCGATACCAAAATGAATGTCTGTCCTCTTTACAGTTAAAGTAACTGGATTCTTTCATCATAATATGGCGAAATGTGATACAGTATTTGGCTCTCCACAGGTTTGTGTCATAGTACTATCAGCGGAAAAAAGATTTAAAGAGTGATAGGCATTTCAGAGAAAGAAGTTTTCTTAATACATATATAAGTGACGATATTCACAGGGGAACGTGCTTGTTACACTAATTTAATATTTAATTTAAACAATGATCGGTTGTCTCACCATGACTGACCATTTACAATTTGAATGAATTAATGAAGATCTAAAAGATGAATTTTATTAATTTATAAGATGGGTGGACGAGCCACGGCCTACCTGGTTTTAAGTGGTCACCGGTGTCCATTGACTACAACCTAAATTCCACCATATACTTTGAGACACTATT